CAGGCCATGTGCATCTTGGAAGCCTTCGGACATGCCAAGACCACACTCAACAATGTGTCCAGTTGTCTCATACAATACTGGGAGCTACAGTTCTGTGAGAGGAGAAAACACGCAACAGGAGGTAAGTTTGCACTTAGCCTTCAGAGGGCCCCTGTGTCCGGAGAGATGGAAGCCGTGGGGTCTGTGCAGCCTGTATTCACTCTAGAACCACCCCAAGTCAGCATACCGCAGAGAGAAGCCAATAACAGATCATCTTGGGAGGCGTCTACATGCCACCGCCTGTGGATTTATAAACCTCTTATTCTTATCCCAGAAATGTTTTATAATAAAGATAGCCAGGTATATTGAGAGGGGCCTGGAGGTGTCCTCTGCATCCTGAGATGTCAGGTTTCAAGTTCAAACTTTACAGGGAATCGAAAATATTCTCAAGTGCGGTGAGCCTTCCCCGGGGATTGCTTTATAAATTATACAGCACAGAAGAAGGGCTTAGCAAAAAAGAGCAGACATGAATCAGACTTCTCCCAGATAGATGCACACACTCAAATCATAGCCATGTGCAGTTCCTTCACACAGCACACAGTGGGATCTTCTTAAATAGAATCTGAACTTCTTAAATGATGGAATTAAAAACAATCTAAACAATAAAATCATCACCAAATAAATCTGGAACAGAACTGGCTTCCTATTTGATTTAAACATTAGCTGAATATTTTTCTGGAAACCCATTTACAGTTCAAGTTTTCACTGACCAGTGCGTCCTGGGCATCGCAGTAAAGTTCCCTGGTGAGATGTTCCTAGAGAGCAGAAGCTGAAACAGGAAAGGTTGTGACTTGTCCTTTGCCACATGGATATGCAGACCCAGATGAAGACTGTGGTCCAGTTGATCAGGTAGTCTGTCAAGAGTGTTAAGTCCCAGGCCACTGGCCACCTGCTTGCATGGCTCCTCCTACTGAGTCTGAAGCAGCATCCTCCACCCTACCCTGATGCCAATGCCAAGCATCACAGGCCCCTAGCCCACACACTGCCAAGGAGAAATCCCTCACCTGAGGCTCTCTGACTCTCTATCCAAATGCTCTTCATCACAGGAATGTGCTCACTGCTCCCCAAAGGGACTGGCCATCGTTCTTCCTGAATTTCTTCTCTTTCTCCCGGAGAGACTCCATGCGTCCTCTCCTCAGGAATGTCAGTGTAGAAAACTGTCACATGAGAGAAGCAGCAGAGGGTGGGTGAGGGCGCTGCTCTGCAGTCGAGGGGACCTGAGTTTGAATCCTCAGAAACCGAGTAACGCCAGCAGCATGTGTCTGTGATGCCGGTGCTAGTGAGATGAGAGGTGGAGACAGGAATTCTCCCCAAGCTGGTGGACCAGCTAACTTAGTGTATGCAGCAACAAACTATGAAGAAACCGTGTCTCAAAAAAGGTGGAAGGCAAGGGCTGATATCTAAGGTTGTCCTCTTGCTTCCACATGTATAACATGACACATACTCACAAGGACACACACACACACAAGTGCTGGAAAACTGCAGTGAAACTTCTAGAGTTTTCTGGTTACTGTACTCTGTTGCCAAGTAGTTCCCATAGTTCCTGGCCAGCCACAGCCATAAGTACTTAACATGCTCATGCGAGTAGGTGTGGTATACTCACATGCATTCCTACCTCTGATTCTTCAGGGAAGAGAATTTGGCCGAGTGTAATAGAATCTAAGCTATGTGTGTAAGTTAGTTGACTTTCTTGGCTCTATGTGTGACTTGGGAGACTCTGGGCTGTGTGTGTGACTTGGTTGGTTGTGGGTTATGTGTGTGACTTCGTTGACTCTGGGTTCTCAGTGTGACTTGGTTGCCTCTTCTCTTGGGGAAATTATTCTGCAGACATCATGGAAGGCATTCTCCGCCTTTCTTCCCTTCCATATTGCTTTCTCCTTCTGTTCTAATTAACACCCCTCAGACATTATCATTTACGTTTGTAGTTTTGAAACCTTCCTGCTGTGTTATTTTTTTTAAAGATCTAGTCAAATGCTTTGGTGATTAGTTTTCTATGATTTTTAAAACTGAGACAAGTAAAGTGAATTGGAAACAAAATGGGAAGTCAGTACCGCTCTGGGATTGCATTCTCAGGTTCCTGGAGACATTACCCGGGTCCTACGAAACCTGAGTGCTCTGGACGGCTCGATCTCTGAGCTCGCCTCTGCTCTTTGTAAGAAGGAAATTAATGATGACTGTTCGGAGAGGGCTTATGGTGGAAGTCAAGTCTCAAGGGCCTCGCTTTTGGAGAGAGCAGAGTGGCGGTGCTCACACTGGGCAGACAGACTCAAGGGAAAGCCCTGTGGCCGACTTACTCACTTCCCTCATGGACGGATTGGAGGACCAAGTCTGCAGTGCAGTGTAAAGACCTGGTCCATGCTAATCAGTTAATCGCAGAAACATCTACCATAGAGGCTTAGGAGTGCTGTGGTGAGCGAGTGCACAGCGGGGCGTTAAATGCCTTGTATACAGTCAGGACGCTAAGGCAAGACTGCTATGAAGATGCTTCTTTGTGCTGAGAAGACCTTAAGTCTGAAGATGAGACCTCTGCCTGTTGCTAGTCTGATGTTCGGAGGTCCACTGAAGGACTTGGCAGCCTTATCTTGTTTCCCAGTTCATGTTAGCATAGATAAATGAATGGGCATGAAGCCTGAGAATGTTCCAGAATGTCAGTATCTGAGACCTTCTGTAACAAACTGTTGTGTGTGACTTCTCCTGAGGAGACCCAACACACACACACACACACACACACACACACACACACACACACACACACACACACACACACACACATCTACTCACCCCAGAAAGAGAATCCACAACAGACCAAAGTAACAATTTCACTGAAGTCCAACTTGGTGAATCAGTGAGTTTTTACTGGGGTCACTAACGGGACTTGGGGTGAGTGGCTTCTTATAAGGAGCAGGAATGACTGGCAGGCAGTGGGTCACCTGAAAGCCAGTCCTAGCGTGAGTGACAACCCACACAGCTGCAAACCCAGATCTCTGCACAGCTAGCAGACCGCTCCACTGCCTGAGAATCCCCCTGCAGCTCCCCTGGTCCATCTCCCCTCACTGCTCCCAGAATCCCCCTCTGCAGCTCCCCTCACTGCTCCCAGAATCCCCCTCTGCAGCTCCCCTGGTCCATCTCCCCTCACTGCTCCCAGAATCCCCCTCTGCAGCTCCCCTCACTGCTCCCAGAATCCCCCTCTGCAGGCCCCCTGGTCTGTCTCCCTTCCTGCAGTTGTTTTCTGTTTCTTTTAACCTAGAGAGGAGCCCCTGGGTATCTTAAATTCCAGCATTCTAAGACAGGTGACATTTGTTTACCTGCTGGGTCCCATGGCCCATCCCCCTTTCTGGAAGGAAGGATTTGGTTCTAATGAAGCTGCCATACACCCCCAATGCTTGAACAAGCTGCTTGAAGCCTGCAGGGATGGACTGACTGACCTTCTGAACTCTCAAAGCCTGACTTGGGTGTCTGCAGACCTGTGTTCCTGCCATCTCCAGGGTGGAGCCTGCTGACCAAAGCCCACTTCTGAGCTCTGTGTTGGGCGTATACGCCTGTCCCCCCAGATTTGCCTCCTCTGACCATGCCTCTGCAGGGTGTCTTCTTAGAAGGGTGTTGGTCATAGCGCATCAGCACCCACTCTACTCCAATGTGACCTCAGGGCACCACCAGTGCCTCTGTATAGATGCTGTTCCTGAGCAAAGCCCCGCACACAGGTCCTGAGGTGAGGGCTTTGGAGCATCTTTTGTGGGGCACAGTTCAGCCTCCTGCAGGGAATGAAGAAAGGCTTTCACTGTCCAAAATTGTTTTCCGTTGAAGATCGAGTACCTCCACTGCTGAGGAAAGTTAACATGGCTGGACTAAAAAGCTATACTAAAATGTTCTGCTTCTGAACCAAGGCTCTCTTTAGTGAGAAACATGGAGCTGGGACATGCCTTGTGATCATCAGGACCTGAGTCTGGATCTCCAGCGCTCAGGCAAAAGCTGGATGTGGTTGCATGCTTGTGACCCTAGCATTGGATGGGAAGAGACGGGCCGACCGCAGAACTCACGGCCCAGCCAGCCCAGCCGAGTCAGCAAGCTCCTGTGAGAGATGTTGTCACAAATACTGAGTTGGAGAATAATAGAGGAAGATGCCTGATGGCAACTCTGGCTTCCACATGTGCACGGGAGAGTGCACCAGTGCATGTATGTACACACACACACACACACACACACACACACACACACACACACACACATACTCTTTTTATAAAAAGGAAAGTTACTTTAATTTAGAACACCAAGAGAGCTCATTCACTCAAGTTGAGCTGCTGTGAAAGCAGCTGAACTGTAAATATTCATTAAAACGGCTAATGAGATTACACTAAGGCTATTATATTCAAGCCAGGTCAAGTAAATGAAGATTATGTGATGCTTTTACGCTTTAAAGTAGACCATATTTGCTTAAGTTACCAACATGTATAAAGTGGTGACTACCATTGTATTGGCCACACGGAATTATCATACTAATGTTAAGGCTGATAGATGCTTTCTCCTATGGTTGTTAGTAGTGGTTTTTAAATATTTCAACACCAGTAATTTTGCCAGAATGTAACCACAAATTGCAACATAAGAAACACCAGGCTTAGTTTTATGAACCACCAGCTATAAATAAATAGATATTTTTATTCTGTATAAATTTTATTAACAAATAACATCTTAGTCTGGCTCCCACCTCAGTGCCCCCCCCCAGCTGATTTCTTTTATGACAAAGCCACTGTTCCTGGTTCTCCAGAGTAGGAACCCCTGCCTTAAGTCACATCAGATACTGGTTGGTAACTCCCACAGGCTTTGTGCCACCATTGCCCTAGCATGTCTTGCATGTAGTAAGCCACTGCAGATCAAAGAGTTTGTGGCCAGGTTGGTGTCTACAGTTTCCTTTGTGGTGTGTAGAGTACCTTCCTGTACCAAAGACCCACTTTCTGTCAGGAATGGCTCTCACATGGCTTCTGAACAGGGTCAGAGGTGTCTTGGCTTCCCCTGCCCTCCTGAGATCTTGCCCATAAAAGGTCTGAGTTGCCTACTTCCACTATTAAGTTGAACGAGGACTCCTTAACCCAACAGCCATCAAGGCTGTTGGCCAACTAGTTAACAGCCCAAAGCAGCCAGCTGCTTCTGACCTAGGAAAGCCGGTGTGCAGGAGCTTGGGGCTGGGGGATGAGCGGTCAGGTCCCGCTGGCAGAGAAGGCCCTGTCAGAACGCTATGCCCGTCTCCGGTACAGGGACACTTCCTTGCTGATTTGGCAACGGCAGCAGCAGAAGTTGGAGTCTGTACCACCTAGCACATACCTGAGCAGGAGCCGCAGCATGTGGTACTCCCAGTACGGAAATGAGGCCATCTTAGTCCGAGACAAAAGCCAGCTTGGGGTCTCTAAGGACACTGGCCAGTCTAAGTTTTGCTCAATCATGTACTTCCAGGGGGGTCCTTGATGGCTGTGAAGATCAATCTGTGGTATAAAAACTCAACACCCAAGAATATCACGCAGCCCTCTATCAATGGCACACTGCCGAGGCCCTGGCAATGCTTCCAGACAAAAAGAGAGGCCAGTGAGATGTCCCCAGCTCCTGTGAACTGCTTGCCTGACACAGAATGGGTCAGGTCCAGGGTAAAGAGGGGACTCTCTTCCTGGAGGGTCTCAGATCTGTCAGTTCACTGCAGTGACATGTGAAAAGGGGCCAGAGCCGGGGTGGCATTTCAAAACCAAGAGTTTTAGTGACCAACCGTAATACATTACTGCATTGTGGTTAGCACCCACACTGGTCTTGTATATAGGTGTGTTGTGTCCTAAACACCTTAAGTAAAACCCTCCAATTTAAAGCTCCATCTAAGTTGCCTGGGTTGATCCCAAACTTAATCATGTGGGAAAGAGCATCTGCCCAATGGTGGAGCATTGGGACCTCCTTTCTATCAAGTTGCAGTGGTCTATCACATGTTCCACCTCAGTACACATGGTGTGGACAGCTGGAACATACTTGCCTATGTAGCAGTTCAAGTCTGTGTGGCTATGCAAATTCGGAGATGTTTGTCAAAGTTGAGCCTTCTAAATAAACGTCTTAAGACTCTGAAAAAAAAAATAAGGAAGGTAGGAATGTTGAGACAAGAGGTCTAGCACAAGTCATATCTTAGGACAAGGAAGTTGATTAAGAAGCACAGTGTTTCATGTACAATTTGAAGTGGAAAATATGGAACAGAATCAGCAGAAAGCCACCATACAATTGGATGATGTCAGCAAGAAGCTAACTAAGCCATGTTGCACACAAGGAACATGGAGTATCTCAAGAGCATCACAGACAGAGCTCATAGCAGCTTCAAAACTGATAACTCCAGTCTCTTCAGAGGGAAAAGCTAAGTTTCCAAGAACTGAAACCTAAACTCCTTCAAAGCCCTAGCCCCAGGCCCAGCCCAGCCCTTGCCAGGTCTGCTCCTGGGCAAGGGTGCAGAACTAGGCTCCTTTTGTCCTTTCATTAGGTTCTCCGAGAAAGCCTTGAATTGGCCTGGCTCTCAGAAGAATGCCATTCACAAAACACTGATGGAAGGACTATGTGAAGGTACCCTGGTCCCAGGAAACAGAATCTCCCTGCCTTGTATAAACGCATTGGCGTGGTGATAGTCTCTTTTGGAGCTGTGGCTTCCAATGAAACTTCTTAGTAGCACAGTGGACATCAAGAGTCTGTAAGGATGTGGTTTACTACATCTTGTGAGGCTAAGGCACAAATTCAGGCAACATCAGCAGGGTCCCAATGTGTACACAATTCCCAGGCCAGCGATCCCTGGATGTGGTTAGGAGCCATCCCAACCTGGTGTGGCCCCTACTCTGCTTCCCAGCTCTTCCACCGTGGACAAGTCATCTGAACTTCCTTATATTGTTTTTCTCTTCTGTATTATGATGATGATCATCATTCCAAACTCTTCCGGTTGCCGGGAGCGGAGACACGTCAACACAGCTCTCTTTGCTTTCACTTTCCTGTCTATGAATACCACCCCTTCCCCAGATGGAGATCCTGGCTTATTGCTAAATGATATAGATCCAGTGTCCCAGCATGAAATGGGAAAGTATTTGGCTCTCAGCCTTTTCTGTGGACTGAAAACCCCCAGATCAACTTCAGTTGAAACCACAGTCTGCTCACAGTGGGAAAAGCCCTCCAGTGGATGTACCATGGCTGTGTGGCCTTCTTGGGTAATGGAAACATTAAGAGTTTTTTGTTTTTGTTTTTTGTTTGTTTGTTTGTTTTTTTAATGAGAAAGAACACATGTGAGGGGCTGCTCCTGGCACCCTGCTTTCAAATCCTGATTTTTAAATGAATGAGAGGGGTGATAAGAGACAAAGCATCATCATCATTTCATCAGCTTCCTTACCATTGCGCACCCTCATTGGACGTGCTTTTAATAGAGCGCTATAATTGATCCTATCTCACATCAAGAGCTGTAAGCAGTCTGGCTCTGGAGATAAGCAAGATGGCTTTAAAGTACAAAGGCCTCCGGCAGCACTTCGAAGAGGCCGTGTCTGAAAGGCACCTTGTGTCTGAAATGCAATGGATACATTTAGTGGTACCTTCTGGAACTCCAGAGGGATCCTGAGACATTCTGATTGTTCTTCCTCATATTAAAGATGGATGAAATTACAGTTAAAAGGGGTGGCCATGCCAGGTTTGGAAGCAGAATGCCTGGGATTGCATCCCCCCAAAACTCCTTCTCTTACACCCCTATCCACGATGGCTCATGGGTAGATGGTCCCTCACCCCAGCATGAGCCAGCTCAGGTGGTGAAATAAGAAGAAAGGCGTGTGTGAAAGGCTGTCTTCTCTCTGTGCCCATACCTGCTTTGAGTGACAGCTAGAGGTGGGAGCTGATGAGGCTGTGAAGAAGGTTCTAACTTACAGCCTGAAGGAGAGTAACTCACCCTCCTACTTCCTTTAAAAGTGAACAAAGGGCTTGGGCTCTGAAATGCTGCATTGGGGACAATCAGACAGCATGGACCCATGGAGTCAAACTTCTTGAGAAATGTAAATATATTCATGTGTAGCTGTCTGGAGACTTGCCAGAATCATTGGTTGACAAGGAGATTGCTGTGGAGGGTGACCCCTGCATTTCTGATCAAGACTGTTTCCAACTTAAAAGCCGTTTCAAAACCACACCAGTGTTGAGATCAGGCTGTCGATTGAGGGGGGTTCTTTCAAATGGGCCTCCTGGCTGCAGTAAGTGCTGGAACCTCTTAAACCCAGAGTCCTGTGCCTCCCTGACCTCACAGCTTCACAGCAGACACCACAGCATCTTCTGTTTGGGATTGTGTTAGCCTGTGCTTGAGTTTGCCTGGAGATCTTCCTTCAAAGTGCTGTTTTCTTTCAATCTTGCGCATCAGAACCCATTAACCCCAAGCAATTTTATTCACTGCTGGAGATGTGCTAACTAGCATGATTAATAATTACTCTGCTTAGGAATTTAGATGAAGGGTTTCCAGTCACTCGTGACTTGGCATTTGATCAGAACTGAACACTGCTTCAACTGAAGCTGCTGTCTTTGCTGGGAGAAGTGTTGTGTGAATCAGCAGGGGTCCAAGGCCAGAGGCACAAGGACCTCTCAGCCTTCATTTCTCACCTGGTGCTTCTTACCTGACTATGGGAGTCCTGCCCCCACTTTTTCCCCAGGGTACCCTTGAAGAAGGAGAAGTGAGAAATATTTAGATAGAAATATAGAGGGGGAGAGAGAGGGAAACAAAGGATAGATAGCCTTCGGAGGGCCTGGATCCTTATCCACAGGCCCCTTCTGTCTCTGCTAAAGGGCTTTTCCTAGGAACGCCAAGGATGGAGCAAAAGACCTCCCCCTAGCACAGCCAAGTGCAGACCCTTCCAAACACCTGGTAACCACGCACATCAGTTCATCCCCTCATGCAGCCCTGCTGGGTAGAGCAAGCTTATGTCTCACTAGGAAACCTCTGTGGGCTCCCACGTCTGACATAGAAAACAGTGAACGGGACCAGTGTGGAGATCTACTGTACACCCATGCGGAGCCATGTGTACTGAATCACCTGAGGGGTAACTCATTTCAGACTTTTAAAGCAGAAAGCTTGCCAGTTTTTTTGCTCAAAAAGAAAAATGAATGAAAAGTATAAGATCTCAACGTCAAAATTCTCCCTGGTTAAGCAGCCATGAAGATAGGCACACACACACACACACACACACACACACACACACACACACACACACTGCATACTGAGGGTATGATGGCTATTCTTAGTTGTCAACTTGACTATATCTGGAATGAACTAAAACCCAAGTGGCTGGGTACACTTGTGAGGGATTTTTCTTAAGCAAATCATTTGAGGTGGGAAGATACACCTTTAATCTGGGCCACACCTTCTGCTGGGGCCTATATAACGGACATGGAAGAAGGAAGCTCACGCTCTGCCTGCTTGCTCTTGCTAGCAAGTCCATGCCCTCACTGGCGTTAGCGCCTACTTCTTTGGGATTCTGGTGTATCCTGAAGACCAGCTGAGACATCCAGCCAGGTGCACTGAACAACTACTGGATTCTTGGACCTTGCATTGGTAGACAGCCATTGTTGGGCTAGCAGGACCTAGATTACAATCCATTCTAATAAATCCCTTGTGATGGTGTGTGTGTGTGTGTGTGTGTGTGTGTGTGTGTGTGTGTGTGTGTGTGTGTGTCAGAGAGACAGAGAGACAGAGAGACAGAGACAGAGAAAGAGAGAGCGAGAGAGCAAGAGCGAGAGAGCAAGAGCGAGAGAGAGTGAGAGAGAGAGAGAGAGAGAGAGAGAGAGAGAGAGAGAGAGAGAGAGAAAGGTGGATCCTCCATGCTGTAACAGGTTTCTCTAAAGGGACAGGACTGTTGGACAGAGAGTGAGTTCTCCTATAAAATATGAACTTCACTGATAAGCATGGGCCGATACTGACTCCTCGGACTCAACCATACACATATCACACAAGCTGTTAACAGGGACCATATTGACTGTGGCAGCAGTAGCTGGGGACTCTGACGTCTTGACACCTTGGGCTCAGCATCTCTGGAGACCTAAGCTACTGTAGAAAGTAAAGTCTCTGTATTTTTTTTTTGAATATCTGTGTTGGAAAAGAAGCTTTGTTGTCATGGCTTGTAATTAATTAACATGTAAATTTATGGAAATTGAACTAAAAATGCCATTTAACGGAACCCCTTCTCTTTTCCTAACCAGCCAGAATTTCCACTTATATGCTGGAGAAGTCCAGGCTTGTGGCGCAGCCTCCTGGCCAGGGCAGCTTTCTGATTTTCTCCTGGTTGATGGATGGGTTATCCCCTGAAGAAAAATGTGGACTTCACCTAAGTAACTTCTGTGGACACCGGTGAGTAGTCAAGGATTTTCCAAGTTTTTCCTGAAAATTGCGAGCACATTCTCAGTTTCAAATTGTCTTCCTTTTTTCATTCAGTGGAATGGTAGCTAACGGAAGACTGTTGGCTTCTGTTACGTCTGAGCTGTCTGGATAGCAGGGTTCTAATGGTGTGCTGAGTGGTGGGGGGGGTCTTCCTTTGTTGGCGTGAACTTTTATTTCTGTTTTACCAGGTCTCAGAAGGGAAGACAAAAACCTAGTGTGTCTGTAAACATTCCAATGCCTATGGCTGTTTTGGACACACTGTCTAATCTGCCATCGTCTGGAGTGTTGATGTGAATAACCAGCATTCATTTGCAGCAGATGAGATCTCATAGTGAAGAGAGGAATTGTACCTCAAAATCGGGGGCAGATGTTCTTCAGCGAAGGCAAAAGCTTTTGTTAAAATGGAGCCATTGGTGACGATGTTGGGCATGAGAGGTTGCAGGACGGTCAGCTGAGGAACACTGTTCCGTACATGCCTTCCTGCCAGCTGCCAGCCTGAGCCGACACTGGGCCAGATTAGTTTGGATAAAAGACGTTAGAAGGGGTGGTTGCTACCCAGAACAGACGCTGGTGGAACAGGGAACCTACAGCTCATCTCGGCTTCACTGTGCTGAATTTCCTGGTGTAGTCTGTTGTGTTCCTGTGGGGAAGCATGTGATCCATGAGTGCATAGTCATCAGAGTGATTTGATGATAAAT